CAGACACTTTTCCCCCCTTCCATGTCCGGACACTACCGGTTCCCCCCCTTCCAGTCCGGACACTTTTTCCGTACCATCCCCCCCCCCCCCCCCCTCCAGTCCGGACACTTCCCCCCCTTCCATCCGGACACACTTTCCCCCCCTTCTAGTCCGGACACTTTCCCCCCCTTCCAGTCCGGACACTTTCCCCCCTTCCAGTCCAGACACTTTCCCCCCCTTCTAGTCCGGAACACTTTTCCCCCCCTTCCAGTCCGGACACTTCCCCCCTTCCAGTCCGGACACTTTCCCCCCCTTCCATTCCGGAGCCACTTTCACCCCTTCCAGTCCGGACAACTTTCCCCCTTCCAGTCCGGACACTTTCCCCCCTTCTAGTCCGGACACTTTCCCCCCCCCTTCCAGTCCCTGGACACTTCCCCCCCTTCCAGTCCCGGAGCCACTTTCAATTTACCCCCTTCCCACTGTCCGGACACTTTCCCCCCCCTTCCAGTCCGGACACTTTCTGTCCGCCCCCTTCCTGTCCAGTCACTTTCACCCCCTTCCATCCGAACACTTCCAAAGAATCACTTCCCCCCCTTCCAGTCCAGACACTTCCCCCCCTTCCAGTCCGGACACTTCCCCCCTTCCAGTCTGGACATTTTCCCCCCTTCCAGTTCGAACACTCCCCCCCCCCCTTCCAGTCTGGACATTTCCCCCCCTTCCAGTCCGGACACTTTCCCCCCCCTTCCAGTTTCGGACACTTCCCCCCCTTCCAGTCCGGACACTTTCCCCCCCTTCCAGTTCGGACACTTCCCCCCCTTCCAATCCAGACACTTTCCCCCCCTTCCAGTCCGGACACTTTACCCCCTTCCAGTCCGGACACTCTCCCCCCCCCCCCCTTCCAGTCCGGACACTTTCCCCCCTTCCAGTACGGACACTTTCCCCCCTTCCAGTCCGGACACTTTCCCCCCCTTCCAGTCCGGACACTTTCACCCCCTTCCAGTCCCGGACACTTTCCCTCCCTTCCAGTCCGGACACTTTCCCCCCCCCCTTCCAGTCCGGACTACACTTTCCCCCCCCTTCCAGTCCGGACACTTTCCCCCCCTTCCAGTCCGGACGCTTTCCCCCCCTTCCAGTTACCGGTACACTTTCCCCCCCTTCCAGTCCGGACACTTTCCCTCCCTTCCAGTCCGGACACTTTCCCTCCCTTCCAGTCCGGACACTTTCACCCCCTTCCAGTCCGGACACTTTCCCCCCCCCTTCCAGTCCGGACACTTTCCCCCCTTCCAGTACGGACACTTTCCCCCCCTTCCAGTCCGGAACGCTTTCCCCCCCTTCCAGTCCGGACACTTTTCTCCCCCCCCCCCCTTCCCAGTCCAGACACTTCCCCCCCCTCCAGTCCGGACACTTTCCCCCCCTTCCAGTCCGGACACTTTCCCCCCCTTTCCGGACATACTTTCCCCTTCCCCCCCTTCCAGTCCGGACACTTTCCCCCCTTCCAGTCCGGACACTTTCCCCCCCTTCTCTAGTACAGATAAACCTTTATTTTGATGGTATTTATTCACCGCTGGGGTTTTTTTTTTTTTTTTTGCTATGCTATGTAAATGAAAAAATACAAAAATACAAAAATTATGAAAAAAAGTGTTTTTCTGATAAAATTTTGCAAATAAATAATATTTCATCATAAATCTTGGCCAAATTTATTCCATTATCTTTTTAGTAAAAAAAAAAAAACCCATATTAGTTTACAACCAAAAATTATAATTTTTAAAAAAAAAAATTTTGTATTTTCTTTTCTTTTTTTATATTATTATTTATGTTTTGTTTTTGTTTTGTTTTTTTTACATACTGTCACCCTAGCAGTGTGGGGTCACCATGGTGACACTGTACTACTTGTGGGGGGTGATGAAGATTTTTTTTTTACACTGATTGTTTTTATACCCATAAAGGCTGGAAGAGGAATCATTTCTCCTCTCTGGCTGCATTCCTGCAGCCATTGAGAAATACTGTGTGAGCTGTGATTGGTTACAGCTTGTCACATGGTACAAGGCTGTTGTGAATAGCTCTGTACCATGTGATCTCTGTGATCATTCACAGATTTCACACGTAGTAAGTAATGATGTCAGAAGTGACATCTTGCTTACTACTCTGCATGTGATCACTGATTGGCCAATCAGTGATCACATGATCAGGACCTCACACAGAGATCCCGTCCGATGATCGGTGTTGTTCTGCTGTGTCCCAGGGAGCGCGCACAAGCAGGGTGTGGGGAGGCTGTTTATAAACCCCCACCTGACCCTGCACTGCCACCGTCCGCCCGTTTATATACAACAGCCGGACGGGAGGTGGTTAAAAAAAAAGTAAAATCTAGTAACAAATATAAAAAAAAGGTATAGACGGCTCGTGGTCTCTAGTAACGATCAATAGCTGGTGGGACCTTCCCCGGATCATGTGACCGCTGTAACAGCCAATCATAAGTGGTTAATATTTGTGTACATGAGTTTGCACATAGAGACCATCAAAAGGAATTAAAGTGACACAGCCAGGGGCGGTCTGACCATTTGGAAACTCGGGCACTGCCCGAGGGCCCGGGGTCAGTAGGGGGCCCCATGAGATGCCCCTGGTACCTTTTTCATAGGCTTTTTTGAGTTTGGGCAAGGACACAGGGGCCCCATGATCCCCTATTGCCCGGGGGCCCCATGATCCCCTATTGCCCGGGGGCCCCATGATCCCCTATTGCCCGGGGGCCCCATGAGTTGTCAGTCCGCCCCTGGACACATCTATATAATTATCACCAATATTAGGAGTGGTATTTTTTGGAATACGTTTTACATGGCAGCTGATTGGATATAATATTGACAGAATATTTAAAAGCATCAATTGGCGCGGTTTAGCGATTAACATACTTTTAAGAATCACTCTATAAAATAATTAAACAAACCAAACCTGTAAATGCGACAAAAAACCCTCAAAATCCCCGTTTTTTCTTTTTTACAAACTGTTCAAAGATTTGCTCATCTCAATACTTCATTTAATCGATCGTCTATCTCCCTGGCCGCGGATTCGGCTGTTTCGAAGCAAAATGCCCTCCAATGCAGCCGATGGAGACATTCCTCAGAGCCGTCCAGGCCGCAGTTATGGGTTTAATCCGCCACTTTCGCCTGGAACGCACCGCGGGCAGAACTAAGACACAGCAGGAACTATTCTTTATTTTGGATGATTATTATACCGGATTTATATGGCGCCAATCAGACAACATCCGCGTATCTCTGTGACGGGTCATTTATCGCCTCCGTACTCCGTCACGCGCACAAGTAGTGAAAGAGGGCGGAGCAAAGCGGTGTTGCATGTGGGAAGCCATGATTACTGTCCCGCGTCATGCGTCTCTGAGCACAAAACCATCAGCTTGGGTCTAGCCATTGACAGTGACTGTGAAGAGAGCGCCCCCTGTGGAGGAACACTTAAAGTGCTGGTTCACCTTTCCCAAACCGCTGCCTATGCAGGTAAGGGGCGCCTGTAGATGAAACCCAACTGCGCATATTAAATGTATATAGATTTAGGCCATTTACGTACCTCTTGGAATTTGCCCGAAAAACTCATAGAGTGAATGCTGACCAATCCAGGCTTGTTGCTAGGACGTTGCTAAGATGATCCCTGCGGTTACTGCCCTCACTATTACAGGAGCAAGCTGAAATCCCTGCACATGTGCGACTTGCTGTTTCCTCCATTGCAGCAGCTCTGAGCTCATAGATACTGTCACTGATCACAAAGAGCTCGCTCCTGTCATAGCAGGGGCAAGCAGTAACAACGGGGGTCATCTTAGCAACAACCTAGCAACAACATAGGATGAGAGGATGCCATTCTTATGAATTTTTTGGTCACCCAAAGAGGTCCATAAATGGCCTCCACTATTCTTAATTGTAGTTCTTCCTTGTGCTATACAAAACGTTATACATTTTGGGTATAAATACACTTTACGTCAAAATGTGGTCAGAAGCACTTTAGAAGGCCTTGGCCCAGACTAATTAATTATGGCCCCGGAGACCACATCACTATATTGCCAAAAGTATTGGGCCCGCCCTCCCAATCATGTGATTCAGGTGTTCCAATCCCCTCCCAATCATGTGATTCAGGTGTTCCAATCCCCTCCATATCATGTGATTCAGGTGTTCCAATCCCCTCCCAATCATGTGATTCAGGTGCTCCAATCCCCTCCAATCATGTGATACAGGTGTTCCAATCCCCTCCATATCATGTGATTCAGGTGTTCCAATCCCCTCCATATCATGTGATTCAGGTGTTCCAATCCCCTCCCAATCATGTGATTTAGGTGTTCCAATCCCCTCCATATCATGTGATTTAGGTGTTCCAATCCCCTCCAATCATGTGATTCAGGTGTTCCAATCTTCTCCCAATCATGTGATTTAGGTGTTCCAATCCCCTCCATATCATGTGATTTAGGTGTTCCAATCCCCTCCAATCATGTGATTCAGGTGTTCCAATCCTCTCCATATCATGTGATTCAGGTGTTCCAATCCCCTCCATATCATGTGATTCAGGTGTTCCAATCCCCTCCATATCATGTGATTCAGGTGTTCCAATCCCCTCCATATTATGTGATCTAGGTGTTCCAATCCCCTCCATGGACACAGGTGTATACAATCAAGCCCCTAGGCATGCAGACGGCTTCTACAAACATTGGTGAAAGAATGGGTCGCTCTCAGGAGCTCAGTGACTCCAAGCGTGGTCCCGTGATAGGTGGCCACCTGGGCAATAAGTCCATCCGTGACATTTCCTGGCTACTAAATATTCCACGCTCAACTGTTAGTGGGATTATAACAAAGTGGAAGCCACTGGGAACAACAGCCACTCAGCCACCAAGTGGTAGGCCACGTCACATGACAGGGGGGGGTCAGCGCATGCTGAAGCGCACAGTGCGCAGAAGTCGCCAACTGTCTGCAGAGTCAATAGCTAAAGACCTCCAAACTTGGTGTGGCCTTCAGATGAGCCCAACAGCAGTGCGTAGAGAGCTTCATGGAATGGGTTTCCATGGCCGAGCAGCTGCATCCAAGCCTTGCAAGGAATAGTGGCCCATCACTGGTGTCAGTGGGGGAGGAATAGTGCCCCATCGTTGGTGTCAGTGGGAGGAATAGTGCCCCATCATTGGTATCAGTGGGGGGAGGAATAGTGCCCCATCATTGGTATCAGTGGGAGGAATAGTGCCCCATCATTGGTGTCAGTGGGAGGAATAGTGTCCCATATCATTGGTGTCAGTGGGAGGAATAGTGCCCCATCTTTGTTATCAGTGGGAGGAATAGTGCCCCATCATTGGTGTCAGTGGGAGGAATAGTGCCCCATCATTGGTGTCAGTGGGAGGAATAGTGTCCGTTCATCATTGGCATCAATGGGAGGAATAGTGCCCCATCATTGGTATCAGTGGGAGGAATAGTGCCCCATCATTGGTGTCAGTGGGAGGAATAGTGCCCCATCATTGTTTTCAGTAGGAGGAATAGTGCCCCATCATTGGTGTCAGTGGGAGTTATTGTGTCCCATCATTGTTTTTAGTAGGGAGGATGAGCCCAACAACAGTGTGTAGAGAGCTTCATGGAATGGGTTTCCATGGCCGAGCAGCTGCATCCAAGCCTTGCAAGGAATAGTGGCCCATCACTGGTGTCAGTGGGAGGAAAAGTGTCTCATCATTGGTATTGTTGGAAATAATTGTGCACCTTTGTTGGGGTCAGTAGATAGAATAGTGCCCCAAGGGCCAGATAAAAGAAAGTAAAGGGCTGCATCTGGCCCCAGAGGTTTCGTAGAGCGGTGTCGTAGAGCGGTGTCGTAGCGTGGTGTCGTAGAGCGGTGTAGTAGAGCGGTGTAGTAGAGCTTTGTCGTAGAGCGGTGTTGTAGCGCGGTGTCGTAGAGCGGTGTAGTAGAGCTTTGTCGTAGAGCGGTGTCGTAGAGCGGTGTCGTAGCGCGGAGTCGTAGCACGGTGTCGTAGAGCGGTTTCGTAGAGCGGTGTCGTGGAGCGGTGTCGTAGGGCGGGTGTCGTAGGGCGGTGTAGTAGAGTGGTGTCGTAGGGCGGTGTCGTAGGGCGGTGTCGTAGAGCGGTGTCATAGAGCGGTGACGTAGTGTAGTGTCGTAGCGCAGTGCAGTAGCTCAGTGTCGTAGAGTGGTGTCGGTGTCGTAGGGTGGTGTCGTAGAGCGGCGGTGTCATAGAGCGGTGTCATAGAGCGGTGTCGTAGAGCGGTGTCGTAGAGCGGTGAGCGGTCGTAGAGCGGTGATGGTGTCGTAGAGCGGTGTCATAGAGCGGTGTCGTAGAGCGGTGATGGTGTCGTAGAGCGGTGTCATAGAGCGGTGTCGTAGAGCGGTGATGGTGTCGTAGAGTGGTGTAGTAGAGCGGTGTCGTAGAGCGGTGTCGTAGAGCGGTGTCGTAGAGCGGTGATGGGTGTCGTAGAGTGGTGTAGAGCGGTAGAGCGGTGTCATAGAGCGGTGTCGTAGAGCGGTGTCGTAGAGCGGTGTCGTAGAGCGGTGATGGTGTCGTAGAGCGGTGTCATAGAGCGGTGTCGTAGTTTCCTTCCTCTGATCTTTCCGGCAGCATAGCACCTCGTCCCCGTCTCCTGTATCTCCCATATGTTGGTTCTAAACTGAATTTCATTAAAAATTGTCTTCTGCTCCAGCAGCCATAACCGTAAAATGCTGCTCATCGCGATCCTGAGACGACTTCTTGTGACTTTAATGCCTCCGCAATATACCTGGTGATGGGCGTCCCAGAACATAAAACAACTTTTAGGAACAGCAGTACGATCTGTAAAACAACTGGCGCCGCGTCAGGCGAGGTGTCTGAGAGTCAGAGGCGCCGCACAATGCGAGGTGCAGATAAATTACGGTTATTGAAGCTTCTTAATTACAAAACATTCTGCTTTCAATAAAAACAAAAGAATTGTTATTTCTCTTTTTATATTCCGGGATTATTGTGCTCTCGGAGTCTTGGATTGGATAATGCGATGACTTTACTTCTGTTTATAACGAGTTCTGCGTAGTGTAAGATGGTGGAGAAGCATTCCGGAGCTCGATGCCAGCAGAGCAATATTCACCTTTGTGCAATCATCGAATATTTTTCCTGGGAGACTGCAGCAATTGTGGAGCATAATATGAACGCCTGAAATGAAACATTAGCTTTATTTATTCTATTTTAATCATTTATATGGTGCAGATACATTTCTCAGCATTTTATGGAGCATGTAGAACATTCATAATAGCCTCCTCCCCCTACACAGCTGAAAGTCCCTACTGTGGTCATAGGGACACATACTGTACTATGAGGCACTGGCTGGCAGGACTGTGGATGGTGTATATGGGTCACCTAGATTCTTCAGCTACACGCGGTCCGGGGTTCCTTTCTTCAATAAACAAACCAAACATTATGTTTTTTTTCAGATCTCAGTATGTTCTGTTCTGATTCCTGGAGCCCAGAGGCTTTGTAGAGCTTCTGGTGGGATAAAGTCTCCATTCCAAGGTCTCCATCTTGAGAAACATAAATAGGGCTACCCAGTTCAACTTGCCAGCCAGCTAACCTAAAAACATTGGTCAGCAGCCCCAATCCAAAAATGGCTTTTTCAGCAAGGAGCATGGATAGGTATCACTTGTCAAAAAGGGTGATAATAAAGCCGGTTCGATCTGCCAGCCAATTCGCCAACAATCGAATAAACCCGTCTAAGAACATGCGATTAAAAACTGGGGTTCAGTTAGGACATTTGCAAATACATACGTAAGCCACAGAGCCACATCACGGCACCCCCGATATTCTGTGGTCCTAACTCTACAAATTTAGTGAGTCCTCATAGTAGAGGCACATGTATTTAATGGATAGACCAAGGGCAGGTGGACCTGAGGGAGCCCACCCCTCGTTAAAGGTGCAGGAGCGCACGGACACCCAGCATGTAGCACAATGGCAGCCAGGGTATCCAGTGCACCCACGGACCTCAAAACATACATTCAAAAGACTGGTCACCGTCCCAGGTCTATAATTGGCTTTTTTTCAGCTACACGCGGTCCGGGGTTCCTTTCTTCAATAAACAAACCAAACATTATGTTTTTTTTTCAGATCTCAGTATGTTCTGTTCTGATTCCTGGAGTCCAGAGGCTTTGTAGAGCTTCTGGTTGGATAAAGTCTCCATTCCTTGGTCTCCATCTTGAGAAATATAAATAGGGCTACCCAGTTCAATCTGCCAGCCAGTTCGCCAACAATCGAATTAACCCGTCTAAGAACATGCGATTAAAAACTGGGGTTTAGTTAGGACATTTGCAAATACATACGTAAGCCACAGAGCCACATCACGGCACCCCGATATTCTGTGGTCCTAACTCTACAAATTTAGTGAGTCCTCATAGTAGAGGCACATGTATTTAATGGATAGACCAAGGGCAGGTGGACCTGAGGGAGCCCACCCCTCGTTAAAGGGGCATGACTAGAGCACCAGAGATAGGTCATCCAAATCCCCCCCCCCTTTTGGCTATACTTAAAGAAAAACATGACACCAATGACACCAATTTTGGAGTAAATGGCCAACATGGCCTTTTATTAACAAACATCTTAACACACCAACCATTCCTTATAACAGAAACATCCAGAGTTGTTGTTGTTGGTCTTCGAAGGCACCCCACAAAAATGATCTGAAATTCACCTGCGGACAACCATATACACTAGGCCTCCAGTCGCAACCAACCAGCTCAGAGACAACCATACCGTCCGCAGTGCAGCACCACCACCTTCCAGTTAAACCTTGGTTAACTGGAATGTCCCCGGGCCCCCCATACCACCGATGGGTCCCACACCATTATCTGTACCTCCAAGATAAGAACCGCCTCCAAAGATCAACAACTGCCCAAGACCGAAATAACCCCCCTTTCCCCCCGAGAGGAACACAATACTCCCTAAAATAGGGAGGGCGGGAGGGAAGCTCACTCACCAATGTCCAGCTCCGACTGATGCCCCCCCCCCCACAGGGACACCCCACCCTAAGGTGCGGCAGAGCCCACCCACGCTCTCCCTCTACCAACCAGCACCCCCAGCTATACTTTTCCACACCCCCCTGGCACATAACTAACCCTTTCTATTCTCCTTCCCACTCTAGGCCTAGTCATGCCTGCCCTGCGCTAATTTTCTTTTTTCCTTTCCGCTACGGTCATTTCTGGAACACACGGACACCCAGCATGTAGCACAATGGCAGCCAGGGTATCCAGTGCACCCACGGACCTCAAAAAATACATTCAAAAGACTGGTCACCGTCCCAGGTCTATAACTGGCTTTTTCAGCAGTGAACACGGACGGGCATCACATGAGAAATATATATATAGAGCTACCCAGTTCAACTTGCCAGCCAGCTAGCCAAAAAAACATTGGTCAGCAGCCCCAATCCAAAACTCAGCAAGGAACATGGATAGGTATCACTTATCAAAAAGGGGGAGGTCTACATCTGACCTATAAGCCAGACCTCATCTTTAGCCTCAGCTGTTCTCAGTTCACATTAGTTTCCACTCCCGACAGAGCTTACAATCTAACGTCCTTACCGTAGTCATAAAGACACGTGCACCACATACTGTAAGGCACTGCCTGGCAGGACTATGGACGGTGTAAACTTGTCACCTAGGTTTCTCACCTACGTGAGGCTCAGGGTTTTTCTGTCTTCAATGGAGGAACAAAGCACTATTGTTTTCTCAGATCTCAATATGTTCTGGTTTGGGTCCTGGAGCCTGGAGGCTTTGTAGAGCTTCTTGTGGGATAAAGTCTCCATTCCTAGGTCTACATCTTACCTATAAGCTGGACCTCATCATTAGCCTCAGCTGTTCTCAGTTCACATTAGTTTCCACTCCCGACAGAGCTTACAATCTAATGTCTTTACCGTAGTCATAAAGACACATGCACTACATACTGTAAGGCACTGCCTGGCAGGACTATGGACCGTGTAAATGGGTCACCTAGGTTTCTCACCTACATGAGGCTCAGGGTTTCTGTCCTTAATGGAGGAACAAAGCACTATTGTTTTTTCTCAGATCTCAATATGTTCTTCTGGGTCCTGGAGCCTGGAGGCTTTGTAGAGCTTCTGGTGGGATAAAGTCTCCATTCCTAGGTCCACATCTTACCTATAAGCCAGACCTCATTATTAGTCTCAGCTGATTTCAGTTCACATTAGTTTTCACTTCCTATAAAGCCAACAATCGAATGTCCTTACCGTAGACATATAGACACGTGCATTACTGCATACTGTGAGGCACGGCCTGTCAGGACTATGGACGGGTATATGGGTCACCTAGATTTCTCACCTACACAAGGTCTAGGATTTCTGTCTTCAATGGAGGAACCAAACATTATTGTTTTCTCAGATCTCAATATGTTATGTTCCGGGTCCTGGAGCTTGGAGGCTTTGTAGAACTTCTGGTGTGATAAAGCCTCCACTCCTAGGTCCACATCTTACCTATAAGCCAGACCTCATTATTAGTCTCAGCTGATTTCAGTTCACATTAGTTTTCACTTCCTATAAAGCCAACAATCGAATGTCCTTACCGTAGACATATAGACACGTGCATTACTGCATACTGTGAGGCACGGCCTGTCAGGACTATGGACGGGTATATGGGTCACCTAGATTTCTCACCTACACAAGGTCTAGGCTTTCTGTCTTCAATGGAGGAACCAAACATTATTGTTTTCTCTCAGATCTCAATATGTTATGTTCCGGGTCCTGGAGCTTGGAGGCTTTGTAGAACTTCTGGTGTGATAAAGCCTCCACTCCTAGGTCCACATCTTACCTATAAGCCAGACCTCATTATTAGTCTTGGCTGTTCTCAAATAACATTCACATTAGTGTCCACTCCCTATAGAGCTTACAATCTAATGTGCCTACTGTAGTCATATGGACACATGCACTACATTCTATGAGGCACTGTCTGTCAGGACTATGGACGGGTATATGGGTCACCTAGATTTCTCACCTACACGAGGTCTGGGGATTCTCTCTTCAATGGAGGAACCAAACGTTATTGTTTTCTCATATCTCAGTATGTTCTGTCCTGGGTCCTGGAGACCAGAGGCTTTGTAGAGCTTCTGGTGGGATAAAGTCTCCATTCCAAGGTCCTAATCTTACCTATAAGCAAGACCTCATCATTAGCCTCAGCTGTTCTCAGTTCACATTAGTTTCCACTCCCTACAGAGCTTACAATGTAATGTCCTTACCATAGTCATATGGCCACATGCACTACATACTGTGAGGCACTGCCTGGCAGGACTATGGACCGTGTATACGGGTCACCTAGGTTTCTCACCTACATGAGGCTCAGGGTTTCTGTCATCAATGGGGGAACAAAGCACTATTGTTTTCTCAGATCTCAATAAGTTCTGTTAGTCTGGGTCCTGGAGCTATTTATTTATTAAGGTATTTATATGGCACCAACAACTTACAAAGACGTTCACGCCACTCCCTGTCCTCAAGGAGCTTACAATCTAAAGTCCCTTTCTCACATACATTCACATACTAGGGCCAATTCAGATAGGAGCCGATTAACCTACCAGCATGTTTTTGGTGTGTGGGAGAAAAACAACACACAAGCACAGGTTGGATATTCAAACTCCATGTAGGTGTTGTCTTAGTTTGGATTCAAGCTGATGACCCTAGTTACAGTGAATGTAGGCAGTGTCGTTGTTGGAATCCAAAGCAATAACTTTGGTGCATGTAGGCAGTGTAGTAGTTTAGATTCCAGGTGATAACCCTAGTACATGTAGGTAGTGTTGTGGTTTGGATCCAAGTCAATGACCCCAGTACATGTAGGTAGTGTCGTGGTTGGGATCCAAAGCAATGATCCCAGTACATGTAGGTAGTGTTGTGGTTGGGATCCAAAGCAATGATCCCAGTACATGTAGGTAGTGTCGTGGTTGGGATCCAAAGCAATGACCCCAGTGCATGTAGGTAGTATTGTAGTTGGGATCCAAAGCAATGATCCTAGTACATGTAGGTAGTGTTGTGGTTGGGATCCAAAGCAATGATCCTAGTGCATGTAGGTAGTATTGTAGTTGGGATCCAAGCAATGACCCCAGTGCATGTAGGTAGCTTCATGGTTGGGATCCAAGGCAATGACCCCAGTACATGTAGGTAGTGTCGTGAATGGGATCCAAGTCAATGACCCCAGTACATGTAGGTAGTGTCGTGAATGGGATCCAAGTCAATGACCTCAGTACATGTAAGTAGTGTCGTGGTTGGGATAAAAAGCAATGATCCCAATGCATGTAGGTAGGGTCGTGGTTTGTATCTAAGCCAATGACCCTAGTGCATGTAGGTAGTGTCATGGATGGGATCCAAGTCAATGACCCCAGTGCATAAAGGTAGCTTTGTAGTTGAGATCCAATGCATTGACCCGAGTGCATGTAGGTAGCTTTGTAGTTGGGATCCAAGGCAATGACCCCAGTACATGTAAGTAGTGTCGTGGTTGGGATCCAAGGTAATGACTCCAGTAAATGTGGGCAGTGTCGTGGTTGGGATCCAAGGCAATGACCCTAGTAAATGTAAGCAGTGTCGTGGTTGGGATCCAAGGCAATGACTCCAGGTACATGTAAGCAGTGTCGTGGTTGGGATCCAAGGCAATGACCTTAGTGCATGTAAGTAGTGTCATGGTTGGGATCCAAGTCAATGAGCCTAGTAAATGTAGGCAGTGTCGTGGTTTGGATCCAAGGCAATGACTCCAGTAAATGTAGGCAATGTCGTGGTTGAGATCCAGGGCAATGACTCCAGGTATATGTAAGTAGTGTCGTGGTTGGGATCCAAGTCAATGACCCTAGTACATGTAAGTAGTGTCATGGTTGGGATCCAAGGCAATGGCTCCAGGTACATGTAAGCAGTGTCATCGTTGGGATCCAAGTCAATGACTCCAGTACATGTAGGTAGTGTCGTGGTTTGGATCCAAGTCAATGACTCCAGTACATGTAGGTAGTGTTAGGTAGTGATTTGGATCCAAGGCAATGACTCCAGTAAATGTAGGCAGTGTCGTGGTTGGGATCCAAGGCAATGACTCCAGTACATGTAGGTAAGTGTCGTAAGTAGATTGGGATCCAAGGTAATGACTCAAGTACATGTAAGTAGTGTCGTGGTTGGGATCCAAGGCAATGGCTCCAGGTACATGTAAGCAGTGTCGTGGTTGGGATCCAAGGCAATGACCTTAGTGCATGTACAGTAGATTTTGTCATGTTTGGAATTCAAGTCGATGGCCCTAATGCTGCTAGAGACAAAGGCACTTGTGTTAGTCTACACCCTGCCTTCCTTTTAGATACATTTATGGCAGACATATGTGATATCAATCCTTGGTGCTGCTCCCCACCCATCCCTTTATCGGTGTAGTATTACATCCAATACAAAGACTGAGGAAACATGGCCGCCGCCATCATTTTACATCGTTCAGGAAGGTGATTCTCACATCTGCTCTCATCTTTACGGCAGGTGCAGAAGCTCTCATGGACCGCTGTGTCACATTAACCTCATTAACATACTGTTACTATTTTCTAACGGCTGTGTATCATCTAATTGTAAAAAAGAGAGCAGCGGCAGAAATAGCGCTGACTCCAGGGAAAGGCTTTGGCTCCAGCGTGCCTGGCACCGAGCACAATACAATCCACACTGTACAGAGTCGGGCCAGATCGCTCCACACAATGACTGATTGGCCCGGTGTCTCTGCTATTACCCTCCCTGGCAGGGAACAGGTTAACCCTTCACTCTCTGCAGCCTCTTCTGGGATGATAATCGATCTCTGAGGCTTTCCTTGTGTTTTTCTTTGTTAGAAATTCAGAAATTCCTGCAATGGGTGACGAGCCCGGGACAGATCTTACATAGACGATGATTGTATTCGAGAACCTGAACATCCCAGAGATCGGAGAGTTCCTGTGTTACGTCCGGACAATTAATAAATGGTGGATTGGATGGATGAGACTCAGGATGGACATCATTAGACGTGAAAAAAAAAGTGTCTTTAAGAAACATTTGGTTCAGAAAAACTACAACAAGGGGAGCTCTGGAGTCTGTGGCCCTCGGAGATGGGAAAATGGGTCGTAATCTGACATTAAAACAAGAAGATTTATTTCCTTGCCCCAATATTGCACTAAAAAAAGCGCCATTGTTACTATTACATGACCGTTGTGATTGGCTAGGAAGAAAAGAGCAACCGAATGCCTGAGCTCCTGCGCTGGACAATGGACTCCACAATGTCTGTATCCCCACATGGAGTATAGAAGGAATGCAAGACTTGCTGCCCTCAACGGACCAAGAAATCCAAAGAGAACTGTATATAGGAAACAAAAAGAGGGCGCACCGGCCTAGTGCAGACCAGGGAAATCCAAAGAGATCTGTATATAGGAAACAAAAAGAGGGCGCACCGGCCTAGTCTATGACCTTTAACCACTTCCAGTCCGGACACTTTCACCCCCTTCCAGTCCGGACACTTTTCCCCCTTTCCAGTCCGGACACTTTCCCCCCCCCTTCCAGGGCGGACACTTCCCCCCCTTCCAGTCCGGACACTTTCCCCCCCTTCCAGTCCGGACACTTTCCCCCCCTTCCATCCGGACACTTTCACCCCCTTCCAGTCTGGACACTTTCCCCCCTTCCAGTCCGGACACTTCCCCCCTTCCAGTCCGGACACTTTCCCCCCCTTCCAGTCCGGACACTTTCCCCCCCTTCCAGTCCGGACACTTTCCCCCCCTTCCAGTCCGGACACTTTCCCCCCTGCCAGTCCGGACACGTCCCCCCTTCCAGTCAGGGACACTTTCACCCCCTTCAAGTCTGGACACTTCCCCCCCTTCCATCCGGACACTTTCCCCCCCTTCCAGTCCGGACACTTTCCCTCATCCAGTCCGGACACTTTCATCCCTTCCAGTCCGGACACTTTCCCCCTTTCCAGTCCGGACACACTTTCACCCCCTTCCAGTCCGGACACTTTCACCCCCTTCCAGTCCGGACACTTTCCCCCCTTCCAGTCCGGACACTTTCCCCCCTTTTCCAGTCCGGACACTTTCCCCCCCTTTCATTCCGGACACTTTCACCCCCTCCAGTCCGGACACTTTCACCCCCCCTTCCAGTCCGGACACTTTCCCCCCCTTCCAGTCCGGACACTTTCCCCCCCTTCCAGTCCGGACACTTTCCCCCTCTTCCAGTGCGGACACTTTCCCCCCCCCTTCCAGTGCGGACACTTTCCCCCCCCTTCCAGTGCGGACACTTTCCCCCCCCTCCAGTCCGGACACTTTCCCCCCCTTCCAGTCCGGACACTTTCCCCCCCTTCCAGTCCGGACACTTTCCCCCCCTTCCAGTCAGGACACTTTCCCCCCTTTCAGTCCGGACACTTTCATCCCCTTCCAGTCCGGACACTTTCCCCCCCCCTCCAGTCCGGACACTTTCACCCCCTTCCAGTCCGGACACTTTCACCCCCCTTCCAGTCCGGACACTTTCCCCCCTTCCAGTCCGGACACTTTCCCCCCTTTTCCAGTCCGGACACTTTCCCCCCTTTTCATTCCGGACACTTTCACCCCCTTCCAGTCCGGACACTTTCACCCCCTTCCAGTCCGGACACTTTCCCCCCCTTCCAGTCCGGACACTTTCCCCCCCTTCCAGTCCGGACACTTTCCCCCCCTTCCAGTGCGGACACTTTCCCCCCCTTCCAGTGCAGACACTTTCCCCCCCTTCCAGTGCGGACACTTTCCCCCCCCTCCAGTCCGGACACTTTCCCCCCCTTCCAGTCCGGACACTTTCCCCCCCCTTCCAGTCCGGACACTTTCCCCCCCCTTCCAGTCCGGACACTTTCCCCCCCTTCCAGTCCGGACACTTTCCCCCCCTTCCAGTCCGGACACTTTCCCCCCCCTTCCAGTCCGGACACTTTCCCCCCCTTCCAGTCCGGACACTTTCCCCCCTTTCAGTCCGGACACTTTCCCCCCCTTCCAGTCCGGACACTTTCCCCCCTTCCAGTCCGGACACTTTCTCCCCCCTTCCAGTCCGGACACTTTCCCCCCCTTCCAGTCCGGACACTTTCCCCCCCTTCCAGTCCGGACACTTTCCCCCCCTTCCAGTCCGGACACTTTCCCCCTTTCAGTCCGGACACTTTCCCCCCCTTCCAGTCCGGGACACTTTCCCCCCCTTCCAGTCCGGACACTTTCCCCCCTTTCCCCCCCAGGCCAATTTTCAGGTTTCAGCGCTATCACACTTTGAATGACAATTGCGCGGTCATGCAACACTGTACCCAGATGAATTTTTTAGAAATTTTTTGAGACAGATAAAAAACTTTATTTTGGTGGTATTTATTCACCGCTGGGATTTTTATTTTTTTTTGCTATACAAATAAAAATGTTCAAAATTATTGAAAAAAAGTGTTTTTCTTATACAATTTTGCAAATAAATAATCTTTCTAATCTCAGCAAAAATGTATTCAGTTATCTTTTTAGCAAAAGAAAAAATAACCCAAATTAGTTTATAACCAAAAATTATAATTTTTTACTGTACTACTTGTGGGGGGTGATGAAGATTTTTTTTTTCTTACACGGATTGCTTTTACACCCATAAAGGCTGTAAGAGGAATCATTTATCCTTCTCTCTGCTGCATTCCTGCAGCCATTGGGAAATACTGTGTGAGCTGTGATTGGTCACAGCTTGTCACATGGTACAAGGCTGTTGTGAATGGCCCTGTACCATGTGATCTCGGTGATCATTCACAGATTTCACATGTAGTAAGCAATGATGTCAGAAGTGACATCTTGCTTACTACTCTGCATGTGATCACTGATTGGCCAGTCAGTGATCACATGATCGGGACCTCGCACAGAGGTCTCGTACGATGATTGGTGTTCCGCTGTGTCCGGAGGACACAGCAGGCACCGGGTCGCGGTGCTGTGCGCTCCCAGGGAGCACGCACAAGCAGGGGGCAGGGGCGGGGAGGCCGTTTATAAACATGGGCTGGACTGGAAGTGGTTAAAAATGAAATTTATTGCTAAAAAGTAAAATATTCATAAGAGAAATAAAATCAAATGAAGAGCATGACACAAGGGATGAAATGTGTGATCTACTTTCCCTATAAGCTCCCACACTGGATGTAGAGTCCATCCATACTACCAGACGGCCTTTCAAGATGATGATGCGGCATCCGTTCCGCCACCGCGCCTAGAATGAATGCTGCACCGCGCATGCACAGCTCAGTGCACAGTCAATGGAAGACTGCGGACAGGCAATTAGGTAAACAGTGTATGGCCAGTCTGACTCTGTGTTGATGTCAGCCTCCAGTAATCCCCGGCACAGCAGCACTCAGACTGGAAGCGGGAAGGACCGAGAATAAGGCTGTACTGCATTGCATATGTGCCGACCATGAGCATGCTAACAGCAGAGTAGAGTGGTAACCTCATCACTGGGTTGCTGCTCCTTCATCAGCCTATCAGTAGGTTGGGGGCGTGTTCCTGAGCAAGACGTGCCTCTTGGAGGATATAGATCTGGCTGTGCTGTCTGGCAGATGTAGCAAAGGTCAATATTGAGCTGTGGCCTAGAAGCTGGGGAGGCAACTCTTAGACTTTAGGTTGGGAAATAAGTGTCAGTATGTTGGCTTAGTACTCAGGGTTTCCTTCTAAGGGTTTAGGTAAACATTTAGAGTAAGGACGGGGGTGGGGCTAAGTGTGACTATTAATATAAGTGACCAGATATCTGATACCTGGAGGGTGGGGGTGGGGGTGGGGGGGGGGAGGTTGTGGCTTTGTATGGTAACATTCTAGGGCACCATGCACTGTGCTAGGCTATCAGCATCTGAAACCTGCCCCCTTCCCCCACTTACCCTTATGGCTGGTTTTAAAAGGGACTCTATGTAGGCTGCCATCTCCGACCTCTTCTGAAAATGCTCGTTATTTGGCTATTCAATTAATTCTCTAACAAATTCTCCAACTACTTCTCCAATTAATTGAATTCTCCAACTAAACAAATTCTCCAATGAATTCTCCCATTAATTCTCCAACAAAATTTTCCAACTAATTCTCCAACACATTCTCAACAAATTCTCCAATGAATTTTCCCATTAATTCTAATTCTCCAACGAATTCTCCAACTAATTCATTCTTCTCCAACTAATTCTCCAACAATTCTCCACAAATTCTCCAATGAATTCTCCCATTAATTCTCCAACGAATTCTCTCAACTAATTCTCCAAAATTCTCCTTCAACAAATTTTCCAACAAAATCCCAACTTCGCCAATTAATTAATTCTCCAATTCTCCAACAAATTCTTCAACAAAATTCACCAACTTCTCCAATTAATTCTCCAACTAATTCTCAACAAATTCTCCAATGAATTCTCCTATTAATTCTCCAACTAATTCTCCAACAAATTCTCCAACGAATTCTCCAACTAATTCTCCACTAATTCTCCACAAATTCTCCAATGAATTCTCCCATTAATTCTCCAACAAATTCTCCAACAAAATTCACCAACTTCTCCAATTAATTCTCCAACTAATTCTCCACAAATTCTCCATGAATTCTCCTATTAATTCTCCCAACTAATCCTTCAACAAATTTTCCAACAAAATTCACCAACTTCGCCAATTAATTAATTCTCAGTTAATTCTCCAACAAAATTCACCAACTAATTCTCCAATTAATTCTCCAATGAATTCTCCAACAAATTCTCCAACTAATTCTCCAATTAATTCTCCAAAATTCACCAACTTCTCCAACTAATTCTCCAACAAAATTCACCAACTTCTCCAATTAATTCTCCAACAAAATTCACCAAGAAAGTCTCCAACAAATTCTTTAACGAATTCTCCAATTAATTCTCGAGTTCAAATACTTTGCGAGTAAAGGACCTGGAAGAAGTGAAGTCGGAGCAAAGTCAGGTCAGCGACACAGAAAATATTGAAGCGGGAGAGCAGCATGACAGCCAGGCGGTTGGTATCTTCACATGAGGTCAGCAGTGCAGCCCATCTCCTTCCGTCATGACCGGCTTCGTCTGATTATTGGATTTCTTCTTAGATAAATCTGCAGGAAATGTTGTTTATCAGCAGAAATGCCCCTCAGACCCGACATGAAGGACCCTCCAGGGGCAGAGAGCAATGACCTGGAGGAACCATTGACCCCTCACACACCCCCCCCCACCCCCGACAGTCTGGATTGACGTCTCCGTCTCGCCTATCTTGTTTCATGTCCATAAAACACAAACTCTGAGAAATGGCTTCTCACCGGCAGAGCGATTTTCGCTGCGTCTGCATTTTAATAATTCATAAGAAATAAAGACAACAAATAGGAAGATTCTCTCCGGAGACAGAAGCCGGCCAGACATGGATCGCCGGGACCGGCTGGACTCCTCTCCATGTATGGGCACTGAGGGGGGACAGAAGTCGATCTACCAATCCACGTCTGCACCATCACCCTCTCAGTATGTCACCATTAGATCCGCTGCTGCAGGCTATAGCCCACAATACTGATCGCTGTATTCTGAAGTCTTCCTGCTGACACAGCAGAGAGGATCCCCCCATCCACATGGAGTGTGTGGAGGGGGAAATCACGTCAGTTTTTTTGTTTAACCTGCTGGATGAATGAAAAAAATGGACTCATCTATAAGCCGTCTGACCATACACTGTACAATCTGCTCTAGATCAGCCGAGCAGTGCAGGTCCAGGACTGATACAAGATGTGTGCATGCATAATGTATATACTGTATGTGTGGATGTATACAGTATATAGGTGTGTCCATATATAGGTGTGTATGTATACAGTATAGAGGTGTGTCCAGTATATAGGTGTGTATGTATACAGTATATAGGTGTGTCCAGTATATAGGTGTGTATGTATACAGTGTATGTATACAGTATATAGGTGTGTATGTATACCCAGTATATATAGGTGTGTAGTATATACAGTATATAGGTGTATGTATACAGTATATAGGTGTGTATGTATACAGTATATAGGTGTGTCCCATATATAGGTGTGTATGTATACAGTATATAGGTGTGTATGTATACAGCATATAGGTGTGTATGTATACAGTATATAGGTGTGTATGTATACAGTATATGGGTGTGTATGTATACATATATAGGTGTGTATGTATACGGTATATAGGTGTGTATGTATACAGTATACGGTAGTATATAGGTGTGTATGTATACAGCATATAGGTGTGTATGTATACAGTATATAGGTGTGTATGTATACAGCATATAGGTGTGTATGTATACAGTATATAGGTGTATATAGGTGTGTGTATACAGTATATAGGTGTGTCCCGTATATAGGTGTGTATGTATACAGTATATAGGTGTGTGTATATAGTATATACAGTATATAGGTGTGTATGTATACAGTATATAGGTGTGTATGTATACAGTATATAGGTGTGTATGTCCAGTATATAGGTGTGTCCAGTATATAGGTGTGTATACATATAGTATATAGGGTGTGTATATAGGTGTGTATATATAGGTGTGTATGTATACAGTATATAGGTATATAGGTGTGTATGTATACAGTAGTATATAGGTGTGTATGTATACAGTATATAGGTGTGTCCCATATATAGGTGTGTATGTATACAGTATATAGGTGTATGTATACAGTATATAGGTGTGTATGTATACAGTATATAGGTGTGTCCCGTATATAGGTGTGTATGTATACAGTATATAGGTGTGTATGTATACAGTATATAGGTGTGTATGTATACAGTATATAGGTGTGTATGTATACAGTATATAGGTGTGTATGTATACAGTATATAGG